GCACGCCGACCTCGCCTTCCTTCAGAGTCCGGTAGATAGCGCGAAGCACGTTTTTCCTCCTCCTCCTCCTCCCCCACTCAGGTCTGAAACTGCCGCCAGGAAAGGACCCGCTCGACCCGGCCAGAGCGGCTCTCCCGGCGCCTGGCGATAGCGAGGAGGCCGGAGCGACGGGGCTGGAAGGGGAAGGCCGCCCCCTGCCCCTCCCCGTCAGCCTGGCGGGGTTCCGAAGCTGCAACGCAACGAGGGCAGCCCCGGATCTCCCCCCCGGTGTCTCCAACGGCTGGTTACATAACAAGCCCGACGACGGCCCTCCTCTTCCCCGCCGAACGGGGCCTAGTTAGGGAAGCCCCGCTTGCCGAACCGAGCCGGTCGCCCTGCCCTTCGGCCAAGCGTCTTGTTCCCCCCGCCCCCGTACCTGCTTCGGAGGCGGGGGTTTGCCGCCTGGGCTGCGCCGCTCGCGTTATCACCCTCAGAAGAGCAGCATCTCTCCCGCTTCCGCCGCGGCCGTTTTAAAGAAAGCTGGCGGGCTCCCTGGGCCAGGCCTACTCAGCCGCCCGTCACCGCGCTCGCCCGCTCTCTGCCTACGCAGCAACCTCCTCTTTCTTCCCCCCCTCCCCACCACCCGATCACTCACCGGCTGCAGGAAGAGGAGGAGGAGGAGGGCCCGACGGTGGAGGGACGAGGTCTCGCGAGAGCAAATCACAGCCGTCGCGGGAATTTTCAAATCCCTGTTCTCTTGCGGTTGGTTTAAGTGGATGTTCTAGAGAGGACACCGTAGGAAGTCCTCGGATGCAGTTTCCACAAAACTACAATTCCCGGCATGCGTTGCTTTGAAGTTTGAACGCGCTTTGGCCAGGCCACGGCAGGGCAATTTACCAAAACAACAACATACAAATTTCAAAAGGGAATAGTGGTCGATCTGCTCCTGGCAGGTCTTACCCATAAACGACAACAACAACAGCAGCAACAACAACAAACAAACAAATCCAAAGATCCAATGATCCTCCCAAAGGAGGCAGAAAAGTAAAGAAAAGCATATGACTGACTGGGGAAAGCAACTCTCCCTTCTTCGGACTAAATCCTCTCTGTAGGAAAATAATGTTTTTTTGGTCTCACACCCAGGATAGTAACGTAATAAATGCTTTCTGTATTGTCAGTATGTGATTCTTGGAGTGAGCGCTATTCTTATGATGGGTCTTTGACCCACCGGTCTGGCCAGAGGCGCAAACATCAGTGTTACACTCTTAGGCTGTCTTTGCACTGTTTTGCAATTTCAGTCTCTAAAATCAGATGCATGGACAAAACTGAAAAATAAAAATAAATGACAACTTGATAATGACAAATGCATTATCTAGGAAGGTAGGGCAAGTAAATTCAACTATACTGAACCAGGAGAGCCAATGAATATTATATTAAAGTATGTATACACATATTTCTTGTCTTAGAAATTATGTCAAGTTTAATTTATAGCCTTCTGAATGCAAAAAGATGTTATACCCATCTTAATTTTAATATATTTCCATATCCTATATTGTGTACTTTGACATTTTGAGATCCCCTAGGCTCATGAAGTAAAAGACACTCCTTCTCAATTGCCATTACTCCTGGTAGGGACCTCTGCTCCATAGAATAAATTCCTTGCAGATATTAGATTGGTACTAATCTTGGCATTTTCCCACACAGCTGTTAAAATAGACTTTTCCTCCCAGAATTATCAAAAGTTAATATTGCCCATGTTTGATGTGGGTACCTATGATAACTGTATTGAACTGATTGATTATTTTAACTATTGGTTGGATTTATTTATTTGTTTGTTTGTTTGTTTGCATTCCAACTGACCAATCCTAAGTAGTTTGCTAGCCATAGGAAAAACAGGAACCAACATTCATTTTTTGGAGGAATTGTATTCCAACAATCCTGTCCACAAGACATATTGGAGTATAATCGAGTCGTCATCAGATTACTGAAAAATCAGGAGAGATGATATCCTTTGAACACTTGATACCAATGGAGAAGTGGTGGCTCCTGCATAGGCATGTTTCTTTAATCCAAATAACATACAAACAGCCCACCCCTGCCAGATGTTATTGGGAGAATGCAATTCTATAGATATTCAAGTCTCGAACCATGTAAGCTTTATTCTCTTGTTTAATTGTAGTGTGGCTTTTATATTTTTATTTTGTGTAAACCATGGTGTGATGCAAGATTTGGTGTATAAGTACAATAAATACAATTGTATAATAGAATCTCTACAGAGGCTGCACCCCATTCTGCCCAAACCAGTTCATACGATACTTGATGTTTGCTTTTTCTGAATACCATGTAGATTTTTAGCTCAAACATCTGCCCTCTGTGCTAGTCCTCCTCTGCTTAGCAGACAAATAGTTCTGGTGAATTCAAAAGCTTATATTCTTAAACATGATATCATCTAAAAATGTATTGCCCTGATATTGTTGTAATGCTTGTAAATCTCATATCTTGTGTAATGTAATATTCTATTGGCTTCTGACTACTCACTATCAACATGAAGGGATGCAGCCAATAGTGGTGGCAATAAAAATCAAGTGAATCAAAGGAAAAAAAAACCTTTATCTTAATATTAAGGCATCTCTGGATACTTCTTATGGTTGTTTTTTAAGTTCTCCTAAAGGCTTTCACAATGTATTCTTCCAGATTTGAAATACAGTTGCTATACAATTACTATCCAGCAGGGATCATTATGCAAGCAAAAACTTTAAATGAAAGAATATTTAAAACTGACGCATCCCAGAAGGAGGAGTGTCAAGGAGTATGCAGGAGGGAGCTCTACAGATTTAGAAAGTCATGCAGCACATGTAAGCTGTGGGATCCCAAGAATGAAATATTTTGGAGAATATTAAGAGGCAGAATTTCCCCAAAGGAGAAATGGAGAAAAAAAAATCTTAATAAAGGCAGGAAGCAGCCCCAGTCTTCCCACCATAAGAAAATAGCTTCAAACTAAGAAGCTTGAAGAGGCTGACCTTTAGGAATATATAATTTGTATCCATTCAGAAAAACTGGGCCAATCTATTCATAAATAAAACACTTTCAACCACAGTTCATACCTAAGGCTGGAGCTGATGGGATTAAGAATTTACATTCCCCCACCCAAATTCTATGGACAGGACATGAACTTTAGAATACGCTAGGATTCAGCCACTACCACTAACATAGTAAAAGACACAAGGCTCACAACCCCTGGAGCATCTCAATCACAAAACTGCAGAACCTTATAAAGATCCATCCACTCAACCATTTTGTCAGCCACCGCAGAAACATTCACCCCAGAAACAGGTTTCTGGCATCCAAATAAACAGAGACCTTCTTTCCAACCAGCCGGTCTCCATTTTATTTCCAGTGTTTTTCTCCTAGCTTGGAACCGGACTGGATTTTTCTTCCTACAAAACTTTACACTTCATCATGGTTCATCCACTCCCACATTTCCCACCAAGTAGGAAATCACATGTCCATGACTATACTTTCTGGCTTGAAAGAGGCAAGACTAGTTTCATACCTTTGGCTCCTGTTTGCATGAGTGCCCACGTGTGTGTGTCTGTGTGTGTGTCTGTGTGTATGTGCACACACACACACACTACCAGTGCACTGACCTTATGGATGTCTCTTCATCATCAAAAACCATCAATCCCCAAAGAAAAACTTTTGGTCTCCCATTGTATATTAATCTTTAAAATCCTCTGAGTTAGCGTATGCATCTGAATCCAGAATTTTCTAACCTTGTTACACATCCACCAAATACGATAAAATGTTCCTTATTCACATTTACAACATAAATTTGAAGTGTGCTAATGGTACCTCATTTTATTTTAAAAAATTCTTCAAGATGATAACAGTGTAAATTTCATTACTTTCAGCGCATATTTTCCCATTCTTCCCTCTCTATAATCTCTCTCCTTTGCTTGATCCTTTCCTGTTGCCTACGCGATCATGATTGCTTTCGTTGTGTAGAAAAGCAAACAGCTTACTCTCTTGAAATCCCTCTCTAATCTTTTTACTCTGGGCAGAGGAGAGGGAGTACATTATACTTACTGACTGTAATGGTGATCATGCGATTGAGGGGTGCTGCACAGATTGTAAATGGGCTGTGAAGCTATTTTTTCTTTTCTTCATTTTCTTTTCAGCATTGTTCTAATGCTGGTCACTGAACACACAGTTGATAAATGAGGACTACCTTTATATTCGTCTTTCTGTCATTTGAACTATAAGAGGAAACTGATCAATTTCTGCTCTTCCTTACCTTTTAGTCAACTGATCTATGGAGCCAGACCTGTTGTATGCGGTACTGTATATGCACAGAAATTTAGATGTCTCTTGAGAAGCATAGAAATTTTGCTGTTGGGAGCATTGAACAGCTCCTGGTTTTTTTTTCTTTGTTGGCAGTTTGAGACTATTTATTAGTTGGCCAGGTCGGTGGCAACAGTTAATCTTTCTTGTCTGGACTCTGAAACTGAGCTAAGTCAGAACTGGATGTGTGGGAACTACTCAGAAACTTGAGCGCTACAGACTAAATTGAAAAGTAAAAGAAAACCAAGAAAGGGCAATAAAGAACCATTTCTGTGCTATGAATCCATTGAGTCACCAGATATTAGGCTTTTAACACAAAATATCTATCTGGATAAGAAGATGGGAGATGTATACCTATTTCTTGATTTGACAGGTAAAAGTAAATGGATATTTACTTTTTTAAATGATAGGATGCTCTGTGTAATTTTTTTAAAAATAATTTTAAAGTTTTACAAAGCACATAAAAACGAATAAAGAGCAGAAGACAGAAAGAAAGAGAAAAAAAAAGAAAAAGAAAAGCTAAAGTAAAGAAAGATAGAAAGAAAGAAGCTTCCAATTTTCTTTGCAGGAAATATAAATACATGTACAATATTAATTCTTATTCTATTATTACAACCACCCCTTTTTATTATCCATTTTTTTCTAATAAAACCACAATTCACAAGCATATTTTTTCTGTTTCATGCAAAAGGTATGATGTTTATTTGATGCCATATTCAGCTCATGCATCACACTTATAAAAAACACTTTCACCTGTTAAATTGCCTGTTACAATAACTGAGCAGCTTACATTTCATTTTTGATGATAATTATATACAACCATAACTCATTTGAAAAATACCAAAAGATGCACTCATATACCTTGAAACTGAGAATTACTTTTTAATAGAATGTTTTCTTTGTCTTTATGAGAAAGAACACAGAAATAAAGCAATAGGCTTACAGCTAACAACAAGCCCTTCCCCCCTTTACCTGAACGTTTCTTAATTTTCACTGCTTCCTGTAAAAAGTAGATAGTGATAACAGTTCAATTTCCCAGACAAGCAGCACTAGTTACCAACCTGTGAAATGCAGGTAGGACAACATTAGTTGCTGAATACTCTTCATGCTCTTAAGGGCCAAAAGGATTCTATTATATAAAATGAAATTATTCAAGAATCTTTAATACATTATACTTTACAATAATATAACATTTATGTAAACAATAAAGAACACATAACATCCATCCATTCTGATAACTGTTCTTCAAAATATAAAAGGAATCAAGACTTTTCTTGATCTTGGATAGGCTGTGAATGTCTTCAGATAAAACCTGTAAGAAAACATACACAAACATGAAAATGCAGATATGTACCCTAAATTATAAACCTGCTTTAAGAAGGTAGACTTTCACTTCTCAAATCTCTTCTGGTATATGGCTCTTCAAAAATGGGTCATAAATGGATCCAAAGTTTCAAAGAACGTTAACATTTAAATCAGAGGTGTCAAACTTGCAGCCCGGGGCCGGATGCGTTATGTGCTGGCCTCGCCCCTTCCCAGTTTAGCAAAGGGGGGGGAGTCCCAATACGTCATGTGATGCCAACATGATGACGCCCGTGATTTAAATGATAAATGAAAAGTTAATTTTATGTCCTTCTCCCTAACAAAGGACCATCTGCCACTATGGAAACAATTCCGATGATGTCAAAACTCACTCTTTTATATTCACTTATAATTGTGACTTATTTAATTATGATAAACAATTATTTAATTATGATAAACAATTATTTAATTATTTATAACAATTGCACTTATTTAATTGTTATATACATTCAGTAATTTGTAATGAAAAAATTATAGAATACTATACTATATGTTACTTTTATACATAATTTTCCTTTCACTTGTAAGCCACTTGAAAAGATTCAGTACTTCTGGAAGACAAGATTCAAACATTTGATGTCTTCCAGCAGGGTCAAACTTCAACTGATATTATTTGTAGAGAACTCCTGCTCGCTTTGAATAGCAACTAGCTGGTAAGTGTTGATTATCATTATACAAATTACTGGATGTTAATGTCAGAGATCTATATTCAGCATTATTTATACATCATGAGAAAAGTCCAAGAATAAAACAGTGGAAGAGTCGCCACCGGTAGTCCTCAATGTACGAGCACAATGGAGCTCAAAATTTCTGTTGCTAAGCAAGGCAGTGTAAATGAGTCATGGCCCATTTTACAACCATTGTTACTATGGGTGTTAGGCAATTCACAAGCAAATCTGGTTTCCCTATTGATTTTGCTTGTCAAGAAAGGTTGAGAATAACAATTTCAGGATCCAGCCATTGTAAATACATGCCAGTCGCCAAGCATCCAAAGTCTGATCACATGACTAAGGGGATCCTGCAACAGTTATAACTGTGGGAACTGGCCATAAGAAACATTTTTTGGTGCTGTTATAACTTTAAATGGTCATTAAATGAATGGTGGTAAATTGTAAATTAAGGACCACCTGTATTTCTAGGTATTTTCTACAAGGTTTTTATGCTTGGCTAAATAAAACTTAAGTAATAGAATAAAAAGTTATAAGACCTTGTTGAATGTTTACAAAAGCCTCAGCTTTAAGGATAACATGAAAAGAAAGTTCTTATTCTAATTTTCTAAGTTATCTATTCAGTGTGGCTCCTACAGAAAACGTTGTGTATATTTGTATGACTAGTGGCATACACAATTCAGTATTTGAAGTTTTAGGGCCAAAGCAAGAAGACAATAGACATGCTGTGTGCTAGGTCCTATAAATTACACAAGTGAAGCAGATCTGTGTGGAAACAAAAGAAAACAAGGGTAAATGGAAAAAGCTGATGCTTCAGCAGTTTCTAATCCACTTGTAGAAGGCCACAACTAGATAAATCCATTGACTATCTTATGTGGTTTGACAATGACTAAGGTAGCTACAAAATTCCTATCTAGAAAGACAGACATTTCCATGGACTTGCTGTTTGGCTTCTAGAATAAAACAGATAGAGACACATATGTTCTCATGTGCCTTGTGCTATAGGCAGCTCACACTTAGATTTGCTAAAAGAAAGGATCACAGACGAATTTCCCCAGGGTCACAGTGCCCATCCAAACAGAACTATAATCCGCAGCTGCATTTCTCATTTTTAAGGGCCCACAGGAGATTATTTTAGTGCACTGGAGTCAATTTTAGTGCACTGGAGTCAATTTGGATCAAAGGCAGAGTATTAATATTTCAAATAAATGGGCATCTTCTTACTTATCTTTTACTGTTTTATCTATTTTGACAATTCTGGGAGGCAAATATTTGAGCAAGATAGATTGAAGCATAACTGCATATTTCTTGCTAATAACACAATGTTAGTTTTGTGAGGGAGAAGGGAATTTTAGTGAAAAGGGGAATCAGAACAGTTTACAATACAATAAAAATAGAACGGAGATGTGGCGGAGAATGTGCATAATCTGTTTCCCAGAACAAACGTATACACCAGGGGTCCCCATACTTGGCAACTTTAAGACTTGTGGACTTCGACTCCCAGAATTCTGGGAGATTTATTTATTTATCTATTTTATTTGGTTTGTCAATTGCTTACAAGATAAACATAGTTATGAATACATGGATACAGATAAGAAAAATAAAAGAAACAATAGGACAGGGACGGTAGGCACGTTGGTGCACTTATGCACACCCCCTCCAGACCTCTTAGTAGTAGACAGTCTAAGGTTAAAGTTTTTGGGGTTTGTGGAAGAAACCACAGAGTCAGGTAGAATATTCCAGACATTGACCACTCTGTTGCTGAAGTCATATTTCCTGCAATCAAATTTGGTGCGGTTTACCTTGAGTTTGTATCTATTGTTTGCTCTTGTATTGTTATGGTTGAAGCTGAAGTATTCATTGACAGGTAGGATGTTGCAATGTATGATTTTATATACCGTGTTTCTCATATAATAAGGCCGGGTCTTATTTTTTTTTTGAGCCCCGAAAAAATGGCTAGGCCGTCTTTTCGGGGGTAACTTAATTCCCCCCCCTTGCATCTTCGGGCGGGCAGGCAGCGATGGCTTGGATGTTGACCTCGGCGTTGGTGGGGCACTTCATATTGGGGTCAACGTAGGCAGCACCATATCTGGGTGTGCAACAAAAGTACTTCCTAACGGCAAGCCCCCCCCCGCCATTTCCCCCCCATTTCGAATGTTTTAATATAGGCCTTAATTTGGGGGGAGGGGCTTAATTTCATTTCATGCCTATAAAACATGCTGGGACTTCCTATTGGGGGAGGCTGTATTGTTGGAGAAACAGGGTACTATACTTAGATCGGACCAAAGGCGGCATAGTTCTAGGTTTTCTAGGTCTAGAATTTCAAGTCTTAAAGTTGCCAAGTTTGGAGACCTCTGGTATACACCAACACAATGGATGTTTTGAAAAGGAAAAAGAGCACAAGCACAGAGTATAAAATCAATGGGAGCAAGATGAAAAGAAGGAATGCAACTGCTTTAAGAATTGCTTTAGTTGAGGGTACAATACCCATTTTCCAGACAAGCAGAAGCCTGAAAAACAAAAAAATGAGTTGCTTTAATAAGCAGCAGAGAGGCATCACATTCATGGAATGGTCCGAAGCACTTATTCTGAAGCTTTCACAGTTCTGACCAATTGGCCTTTTACTTATTTATTTATATATTGAATTTAGATAGCACCCCCATCTCACTCATAGAGCAATTCCAGCTTGATATAGAAAAGCTCATATATATTATTCCCTGCTTCTGAGCAATATTGTTAACTAAAATGTTGTCAGACACCACATTTTGTACAGCATAAAAATACCTATGGTGATGATAAGCACGTGGTCCAACGCAGGTGAGTGTAAAAAATGCAAAGGCTAAAGCCGGTAGAGACCAGGTCGCTATAGCATATCCAAACCATTCCAGGATTTCTCCAAAGAAATTTGCTCCTGAGACATATGCAAACAATCCTCCTGCATAGAAGAGATTCATTTAAATACTCTTGAGAAACAGCAGCTAATTACTATTATTATTATTGTTATTGTTATTATTTGTTTATGACTCCCTTGAAGAATTGTACCAAAACTGAGTGCTTATGTGAAAGGTTGGACAATACACATTGTTTAATACAGAGGTGTCAAACTGGCAGCCCACAGGTTAGATGCATCATGTGCAAGCCACATATATATTATTCCCTGCTTCTGAGCAATATTGTTAACTAAAATGTTGTCAGACACCACATTTTGTACAGCATAAAAATACCCCAGCTCCATGAATGGGAAAAAACATCATCGCGAAATATCACGTGATGGCAACCTGACGCCACGAGTTTGACACCCGTGATGTAAGAGAACTATTTCCATTGCATTTTAGGCACACCAAAGAGGCTAAATAAATGGTGACCAGCAGGAAATAGGGCTGATGGCCCAAAGTAAGTGTGATCTCTTCCAGTTCTTCATTCTGGCATTTGATCAAGACTTTCTCAGGGAATCTCATTAACTGTGTTAATGAACAAAAGGCCAATTAAATGGTTTCACATTTCCAGCTCGTGTCTGCTTTATCATGCCCTAAGGATAGGCTCTTGTGATGCAAACAAGGTTTTCAGAATTGTCCTACCTTACATGAAGTTTGGAAGGAAAATGATATACCTTGTGGAATTTTGTAAGTGAACTCTCCAGGCTTTCTGAGCTGACGTAGAAGAAAATCACTGTGGATATTGATTCCCATGCCAGACAAAAACAATAAAAGACCTAAAGAAAAAAATGAGTTGGATAGTACAAGTATTTGATTTAGAGACTTTATTCAAACAAATATTTCACTGGCTTTATTGCTTGCCACTGAGAAAATCTACTTCCTATTTTTTGTGAAAAGTATGTAGAAGAGATATCTCAAGAGCAATTCCAATCAGGACCATGGAAGTCTTTCTTCAGGCTTGCCTTGTGGCAATTAAAATGGTAAAACATGCTTATTTCTCAGCCCTGTGCTGGCTGGCTGACTTGATCTCTCCTAGTTGGGAGGGACCAAGGAGATTCCTATACAGCAGGGGTGGGGAACGATGGCCCTTTTATGACTTGTGGACTCCCAGCATGGCTGACTCAGGAATTCTGGGAGCTGAAGTTCACACATCATAAAGTCTTGGTTCCTCACCTCTGCTATACAGGATCATCAGGACGATTATTCTCAGCATTCAATAGGGTGTTTTTGACTTTTTCTAAAGTGGCTTACAAGTTAAAGCAAAATTATGTATAAAAGTCACACATAGTATTCTATAAATTTTTCATTACAAATGTATCAACTATTTATAATAATTAAATAAATGCAATAAAATATTGAATATAAAAGAATGCGTTGGGCAGATGTCTGATAGAAACATACTCCCAAAAACAATAGTATGAGTGCGCAAAATTGTTTTATTTTGCTCAGTTTCACATTTCTCATTTTTCAGATCTTAAGTTCATTTTGTCTGCTTGCTGCATAACTTTGCAAAACTTTCCACATTAAAAAATGTTCATTAGAAAGCTTATTGTTTTCCCTAATATGGTACATATTTGGGCAAATTATTCTGAGTAGTGAACTCAGAAAAATGCTAGTTCTATATCCAACTGTAATTGGATCCACAAGCATAGATTTTAAAAGTACTAATTCCTTTTAAACATCATTTCTTTCTTCCATTCAAGAGATAAAGCCCTTTCTATAGTAGCCTGAAATATGATCAGAATCCCCTCTGATAATTATTACCATGAGTACAGAATTTATTTGGTATCTTTGTTCAATTAGTATAAAATTGTAGCAGGAAAACAAGTTTTATGAGGATTTTTTTTTAAATTCTCCTTTTGTTTTTCTGCCTTAAGATTTTCACAGGTACTATGCCCTCCACCCCTCCCAATGTTGGCAGAGTTTGGATGAACAGGATAGTAGACATATGACCCATCACACATCATAGACAATACCTGACAAAAATCGTATGTCTTTACACCAATCATCTGGGTATTCAGCACAATAAACCATGTAGTATCCTTGAAGGAAGCCATTATAGAAGCAGAACAGTGCACTAAAAAACGTAATCTTCAATGGGAAAGGTCTGCCTCTTTGCAAGAATGAATAAATGAATGTCCTGAGGTACACCAGGAAAGAAAGGAAAAAAAAAACAGAAAAAGTAATGTTAAACCTTGGATTTATAACAGATTCAAGATCTCAAATAATCTTACATGTTGCCAAATATTCTGTTTTCAGTAGCACCTTAAAAATATTTACATTGTCACTTGGAGAATGAGTCTGTGCTATCAGATGAAGTATACAGCAACCCACCCTCATCACAAAAATTCCTAATAAAAGTAATCATACAAATAAAATGTTTGAAACACTTTTTAAGCACAGAGCATCATGTATGCAAAATAGTTTCCTCCTTTTCCAGAGAAATCTGCTACCCCAGTGAAATGTTTTGTTTTAAGCACTGTAATCCAAAAGGATTGTTGAGAATGGATTGAATCAGGGCTTGGTACTCTCTCCTTTATTATTTAACATCTGTTTTAGGGGTGTCAAACTTGATTTCATTGAGGGCTGCATAAAGGTTGTATTTGACCTCGGGGGAGGGCTAGGGTGGCATGGCTGGGGTGGGTGTGGCCAGGTAGGCGTAGCCAGCTCAACATCACTTATGTTGGGGGCACCTGTGGTACTAAAATAGGACTTCCCTCCCTCACTCTCATCATAAACTTCCTTCCTACCTTCTTTCATTCCTTCCTTCCTTCCTTTTTCTTTTTCCTTCCATCTTCATTCTCCTTTCTTCTTCCTTGCTCTCTTTCCTTATTTTTTCTTCCTTGCCTCTTCCCATCTGTCCTTTTTTTTCTTTTTCTTTCCTCCTTCTCCTTTCCTGTCCCTTCTTGCATGCTTAAATTTCTCCTTTTGTTTTTGTTTTTTTTAGTTTGTTTTGCTAGCCCTCTGCCAGTGAAAATGGAGCCCGGGCATGCGCCCCCAAGCTCTGTTTTCGCTGGCAGAGGCACTGCAGGGCGGTCCTTTGCTGTTTTTAGGGTGGCCCCACAGGCCAGATCTAAGCACCCCACAGGCTGGATCTGGCCCTTGGGCCTTCAGTTTGATACTTCTGATCTATATGAAGCCATCTCCATGCATGTCAATCTGAATGATACTGTCTCTGTTTTCTCATGATGCCTGAATGCTGTAGGTATCTGGATTAAGGACAACAGACTTAGCCAGGCAAGACTGAGTGGTTTTGGGTGCATGGAGCCTTAGGATCCAAGTGTTTGTCATCCTTAGTTCTGGACTAAGGTTTTGCACTATCCTGTTCAGACCCAGTGTGCAGCCTAGGGTTTCTTCTGGGCTCAAGTCTCCTGCTTGAAGAGGCAGGCATGACCAGGAGAGCTTTTGCATAGCTCTGGTTTGTGCACCAGTTGCGACCTTTTCTGGATCATGACTCCCTATGCTCAGTTTTGGTCTCCAAAATATAAAAAAGATGTTGCAAGTCTAGAAAGAATTCAAAGAAGAGCAACAAAGATGATTAGGGGACTGGAGGCAAAAACATAGAAAGAACATTAGCTAGAATTGGGTATGTCTAATTTAATGAAAAGAAGGACTAGGGGTGACATGATAACAGTGTTCCAATATCTCAGGGATTGCAACAAAGAGAGAGTAAAGCTATTCTCCAAAGCATCTGAAACAATGGATGGAAACTAATCAAGGAGAGAAGGAACCAAGAACTAAGGAGAAATTTCCTGTCAGAATAGGATTTCCTGCCTGAACAGAGAGTTGGACTAGATGACCAAGGTCCCCTCCAACTCTGTTATTCTGTATTCAGTTATTCAAGCCCTTTGTCAACTTTTGCTTAGGCTACTACATTGCGCTCTACATGGGACTACCTTTGAAATCCATTTGGAAGCTTCAGCTTGTGCAAAGTACAGCAGCGAGACCAGTCTTTGGGACCCCTTTTACACTTCTGCTCCACAAACTTCACTGGCTACCACTCTGCTTCTGAGAGCGGTTCAAGGTGTTGGCTATGATCTTTAGGACAGAGGGTTTATGATTGCAATTTTATCTGTTCTAGTACACATAACTTAGGGAGCAGGGTTGATATTCAGCAGGTTCTGACCAGTTCTGGAGAACCGGTAGCGTACATTTTGAGTAGTTCGGAGAACTGGCAAATACCACCTCTGACTGGACAGTTTACAGTCTCCTTCCCTTGCCACGCTCACCAAGCCACGCCCACAGAACCAGTAGTAAAAATTTTTGAATCCCACCACTGTTAGGGAGTCTATAATAACTAAATGTGTGTGTGTGTGTGTGTGTGTGTGTGTAAACAAATGAGCATTCATCAGGAGATTTACCAATCCTAGATGAGATTCCTAGAGAGAGTTCTTCATTCCTAATAGTTTTGCCTTCAACTACCATTTTTTTTCATGTCTTCTGATGTCATTATGCAACCTACAGATAAGTTTTAACATTTTTTTTAACTTTTCACAGACTATATTTCATTGATGGGCCAATCTGTTCCCCAAGGCCATCAAGAAACGCTAAGTTTGTTTTATCTGATCTCAGTTTGCATTCAGATAATTAGATAAAGCGGTATAAACAAATAGAAGTAAAACAAAAAGCCACTAGAGGTTTCTGTGAGAGCAAATACTGAAAGCTCAACAAAACACATTCTATTGCAGCATAGGAAAATTGAAAGGAGTTCTAATAGCCTCCATCGTGCTTAGTTAAAATGCTGCACAATGCTAATTTGAAAAATGAACATATTTCTGGAGTAATTTAGAAAATGTGTGCTTAAAAAATCTTTGAGAAATTTAATAACTATATGCACAATAAAAATATTTATATAAAAGATCTGTGTTTTAGAATTAGAATTAAGTTAGAATAAAGTTAAAATTTGTCTTTTTTTTTTTTTAAAAAAAGCTCACTATAAACATTGGGAAGAACATGATGGACCAGAATTGGATAGTAAAACAGAACAGATTTATATTGATCCATGCATTGATCTATGCATGACTCATTCCAAGTTATTCACAAACTATAATATCAACTTGTTCTAAACGAAGCTCGTTAGATAACTCCAGCAAAAATACAGCAAAAGCCATTTGCATCTTATCATACATATTAAGCAGTGAATTAAACAAGTGCTGGTTGTTTTTATTAACTTAGCAATCAGGACAAAAAGCCCCATTTTAGGCAATTATGCAGGCCTTTCAGGGACAAGGAAAGCACATTGTGCATTTAAAATTAACAGCCAACATATCTGTTAAAATAGGGTACATTCGAGCATAGTTTCAAGTGTTAATGCCGATTCAATTCTCTAATCAGATATAGAATATTTATGAACGCTAGCATTAATCAGATCATTTTCACCAACTACTTTTAAAAAATCTACTTTGACAATTATTTTTAACAGTTTATTTATTTAAGTATGAATCAGATTTGCACTGATCCTGTCATTGTTACCCATAGATTCACTCTGATACGTTTTCAGAACGTCTTTTCTCTGAAACCTGGAATAAATATAGCTCCTCTAGTGTTGTTTCTGCCTAACTACTGTCATATAAAAAAAGGAAGTACACCTCATGAAAGTTTGTTTTTCTTTTTTAACATACACTGTGGACAAATCAACAAATTAATTTCATTCACACAGTAAATAAAAATAAAGATGGACTTCCGGTTTGTCGGCTTCGGAGGCGGTGGGGTTTCGCGATCTCTGCGATCCCCGCTGCACTAGCCGCGCTTGGTTCCTCCGACCCAGACGGGTCCGGAGGATAAGGTTGCCCCGTAGAGGCAACCGAAGATAGGGAGGATCCGGACAAGGGGTTGGGGTATTCGCAGACCCCTTCCCCACCCGGCACAACCTCCTTTTCTCAAGTCGGTCCAGCGGCGGTCAGCAATGGCCGCCACAAAGAAGTCAGCAACCGGATAAGATCGTGCTGGAGGAAGAAGGATAAATTTTTGAAGCGAAAGTTATTTTGGCTGAACTGGGATTAGAGGATATGTTTAACACCCTGAAATCTGAGATTTGGTTTTTTGTTTGAAAGATACTTTGTTTCCAGAAGAGTTTGGCAAGCGGCGAGTGAAAGTGTTTCAAGTGAAAGTTTACTCTCCTTCCACATGGAATTAACGAATGAATGCTGAAAATACTACTATTCTATAAAAGGTAAAAATCTAAAGCTTCTGGTTATAAATGGGAAGGGAGAGGACAAAAGGAAAATTTATACTAAGATTCTGTTGAAGGAGATGCCTGGAAGATTTTAGAGATTGGAAGTTACTGCAATAAGAACTTAAAATACAGACTGGCTTTCTTTTTCTCCCTTTGCAACTGATTTTAACCCAGGAAGAAGGGAAGAACTTTGTGCTTTGTTTGGATTGTTTGGTGACTTTGGGACTTTGGGACTTGCTTTAAGCTTGGAAATATCTTTGGCTGTTTTAAGAAAAAGAAGAAGAGGATTTACAATGATTTTATCTGCTGATGAACTGAGAGAGGAATATGGCAAAATAAAGAAAGATGATGTGGGGCAAATTTTTTGCTTTTTAGAAATGGCGCTTGCTACTTATCAGCAAATACAACAATTGATGGAAGAAGATGAAGAAGAAGAAGCCATCTTTAATGAACCCACAGAGGTCCTTAAGAAAGAAAGAAGAAAGAAAGGGGGGAAAAAGGATATAAGACTTAAACAAATATTTAAGAAAGAAGAAAACAAGATGCAAAATCAATATGAGGTTAGAAAGCAAAAGGGAAGAGAAATACAACAGAGAGGGGAAGTTAAGGGGGGTAAAAAGACCAGATGGGATAAGACAGGGAGGAAGAAGGGGGAAAAAGGCCACGAGGGTATTAAACAAGATGTGAAAAAGAAATGGTTTTTTAGGGATAAAGGGTAATATAATTTGGTTTTAAAAGGATTCTGCAAGGTACATATGATAGTATTGTAGTATTTGTATTAAAAATAAAAAATTATAACTTTATAAGATCTGAGTAAAGACTAAAATATTAAAAGTTTAATAATGGTAGAATTTAAGATTTAATAAAATAAGGTTTGAAATATTTAGTTTAAATGTAGAGCTTAATTGATTATTGCGTGGATGTTAGTATGAATATATTATTGTGATACTTGCTTTTGAAATAGA